TTCTGAGATTAAAGCAGTTGTCCACTGAAAACCTGAATAAGTGTCAATGGTATGGTGTACATATTTTAATTTGCCAAATTCCACAAAGTGGAACACATCCATCTGCCAGATTTCATTCCTTTGAGTACCTTTTGGATTAGTCCCTGCAGGTAGTGATGTTTGGTTATAGAAAGAGCAAGTAGGGCATTTCTTTATAATCTCCTTAGTTTGTTGCCATGTTATAGAAAACTCTTTATTAAAGCTTTTGCTATTAACGTGGCTTTTTAAATGAAATTCAGAGGCCTGCAGCACAATTCCAATCAACAATTGATCAATTTTTGCATTACCTTGTGCTAGAGGACCTGGCAGACCCGTATGGGATTGAATATGTCTTATGTACATAAGGCAAAGCCTATTCCTGATCATGTCTTGTACCTGGATAAACAATGAAGTCAGTTGTGTATCATCTGGTATAAATTGCTATTAATTTCTCTCCCCAAAATAGCACAAGCTCTTTGCCATGATTCGTTTTTTTCTTCCCATAACTTTCTTATCTCATCAGTAATGAAAGGCACTAATTTCTGCTGGGTCTATGCCTGCTAGTTGGTGAAGTCTCAATTTACCTTTTATAATTAATTCAGAGACTTTTTCCACATAAGTTTTTAGTTTTTTACTTGGCTTATGTGTTAAAAAGATCCATTCTAAGATAATATCTTCTCTCTGCATTAAAATTCCTGTAGGAGAAATTCTGGACGGCAATATGACTAGAATACAACTAAACTTTAGATTCACCCTATCCACATGTGCCTCCTGTAATTTTTCCTCAACCATCGTCAGTTCCTTTTCTACTTCAGCTGTTAATTCTCTGGGACTGTTCAAATCTTTATCACCATCTAAGGTTTTGTTTAAATGAATTATTAGATCAGGTGTTATCCTAACAGCCGGTCATAGGCTGGAGATGTCTCCTAACAATCTTTGAAAGTCATTAAAAATCCATAACTGATCTCACCTAATTTGTGCCTTTGTGTCTTAATTTTTTGTAATCCTATTTTATAACCTAGATAATTGACAGAATTTCCTCTCTGTATTTTTTCAGGAGCAATCTGCAGTCCCCATTTAGGTAAAACTATCTTTACTTCTTCAAACAGTCTTTCTAAAGTATCTATGTTTGAATCAGATAGCAAAATATCATCCATGTAGTGGTAAATTATAGACTTAGGAAATTGCTTACATATTATTTCCAATGGTTGACTTACAAAATATTGACACAAGGTGGGGCTATTGAGCATTCCCTGTGGGAGGATAGTCCACTGGTACCTCCTAGTAGGCTGAGAATTATTATAAGTAGGTACTGTGAAGGCAAACTTTTCTCTATCTTTTTATTGTAAAGGTATAGTGAAGAAACAATCTTTTAAATCAATAACTATGAGAGGCCATCTCTTTGGTAACAGAGAGGGCAGAGGAATTCCAGATTGCAGAGGGCCCATAGGATGAATAATCTTGCTGATAGCTCTAAGATCTGTCACCATTCTCCATTTCCCAGATTTTACTTAACAACAAATACAGGAGAATTCCAAGGGCTGGTAGATTCTTCTATATATTGAGCATCTAATTGCTCTTGTACCAGCTGTTCTAAAGCCTGCAACTTTCCTCAGCTAAAGGCCATTGCTTAATCCATATTGGCTTCTCAGTCAACCATTTTAAAGGCAGGGCTGTTGGTACATCTGAAGCATCATCAATTGCTTTGTGTTCTTGTACAGCCCAAATGGCCGGTTATCATTGTCTGTAATATCTTCTATTATTTTCCTAAGAAATATAAGCTTTAGAGGCAGCAGGAATGTTAATCTGAGTATTTCATTGCTGCAAGAGGTCACGACCCCATAAATTCACTGCAATATTGGCTATATTGGCCTTAGTTTTCCTATTTGCCCCTTTTGGCCCTATGCATTCAACCCATCTTGTGCTTTGTCTTACCTGAGATAGGGTTCCAATTCCCATGAACTGAACATCTACCTCCTGAAGAGGCCAATTCAGATGCCAAGATTCTGGAGTAATGATACTTACATTCGCACCTGTGTCCAATAAGCCTTCAATAAAAATGTCATTTATACACACTCTTAGCTTTGGTCTTTGTTCATTTATAGAAGTCTGCCAGAATATACGTTTCCTCTGTCCCACCAGATTTCTTGACTCATTCTCCACATTTATCTTATCATTCAGAAAAGGGTAAAGTCTTTAAAGAGACAGAGTACAGATAGTTATAGATTAAAAAATAAAGAAAAATAAGCCACATAAAAATGGAAAATTCACAGATATTCTGGATTGTGTATTTTATTGTATTTTCTTTAAATTTTTTGACTGTAAAGGAGCTAAGCACAGAGAGACATTTCATTATATGGGCTGCCAAGCTAAACCAGAATGGATATCGTAAGGGTATTATGACTTCAGAATTTGGGTCTAAAAATATGATGCTTTGGAAAATAGGTTCTTTTGTTTTCACAGAAGATGAGACCCTGTGGATTATTTCTATTCCAATATGGTATGATAGACCACGTCCTCCTGAAAGTTTGCTGTGAACACCCTCAAAAAATTACTTTGCTCAACTTCTGACTAAGATGAACCTAGCAGACAGGTTATACCATAAAAGACCTGATTAACGTGCCCCTATACAGCAGGAAGAAGTTTGGAGAGAAATAACTACGTCCGTATTCCCAGATATTGTTTATAAATGTTCTTTTACATTTAAAGGGGATATGATATAGATATGACTAATTTGCATTGATATAAATTTTGCTTCATTGATATATATTTAAGGTCAATTTTGTTATATGTATATGTATTTCTGATCTTGATTAAGGTATTGTGATTGTGTAGTTCATTTAAAAATGTAATGTATAATTAGGAAATATAGGTTGTTAATGGATAATCATTGATAATAGTCAAGCTTGTAGTCATGTTAGTTAGATTTTTTAGATATATAGAGATATATTTCAGTTAGATAGGCATTCTTCATATCTTTCAAAGACTATAGAACATTTAATGTTTTAATAACTTAGGACTGCTCATGACAACGAGACATGTCTGCTCCTGGCAGCACCAATCTACTTCAAGAGGAAGATGGGCATCAAAGAGGCTACTTTTGGAGTTTGTTAGCCATTTGGGCAAGAAACTGCTCTTGCCTGGACTGTTGCATAAACTGGATACAAAGAATCCACAGAGAGAGGACTGCTGAACTTGCCTAAAGGTGAGATGGTCCTTCAGGGTTCCTGATTCATGAAAGAGTCTGCGAGACATTCTGCAGGACACAGCAAAAAGTGACTGAATTGTCTTTGAAATTTCCTGCTTCATGGAAATGTCTGCTCGATACTATGGACCTGTAAGATGAAGATAGATGCCCCAACGGTACAAAAGAACTTTGAGTGACTGTACAGGCAGGGAGATGTCGCTGTCATTTCTAGAGTTTTGGAAGTTGCTTACTTCTTGTTTACTTAGGTAATATTAAATATTATATCCTTCTGGAGTCTTTGATGGTGTTGAAGAATGTTTAGTTATAGCTACAGTTTTCCTTTGTTACGGTAAAAGATAGATATAAATATTGTAACTGTAATTCTTGCTTGATAACTGTTTTGTTATATGTAATTTTACTATGTTAAAGTTAAAACCTTTCTTTTTTGTTTAAACAGAAAAAGGGGAAATGGTGTAGGAGGATCTTCTGTCTATGTGTTACTTTCATTGGTCAAAGCTAGCCGGGAGCCATGTGTCGGGAAGTGGCCTACAGCTCTTCATTACAACAGCCAACAAACATATAAGCTTGCTGTCAAAGGTAGAAGTTGAGATCTCTGGTGTCTGGTCATTTTTTTATATAGAATCCATACAAAGGTATCACTCTGACCTGAATATTTATACAACAGATTACAACAATCTTTACTTTTGAGGTTCCCAGACTATCCAGTGTCAGCCATGTTTTGGCTGACTCATAGCATATACCCATATCACCACCATGTTGTCTAAACAGAAACTGATAGCTTCTGTTTCTTACATAAGGTAGGGAAGAGAAGGAGAAAGGAATCTATGGAGAGAGACAAGTTACATGATCTACAGTTAGCAAATTAAAGACTCTATAAGAACCATTTTTTCCTTGTTAATTTAAAGTCTGAAGACCTGTATATATCCAATTCAAGCCAACAACCCAGAGGAGCTCCTCTTTGCCCTTTCCTACTTAAGCTTCCAGCTAGCCAGGTGTGTGGTGATACAATATTTGGAAAATATCTCTTACATTCTGTGAGACTGGAACTTTCGCTGGATCTCACAGCTGTGTACTCAAACTGTTTTTTTAACCTTCCTTTAAGGGAAGAGTGGAACAATCAACCTTATTTGTCTTGAATTCTGCATGTAATACACTTTTACAACATAGGCTACTGCATAACCACAATCTTATGTTATGTTATGTATTCTTGCATGCCCCTGACCCAGAGTAATACATATGTATCATTTGCTGAAATCAGTATTAATAAAGTTTAAATGAAATCATTTATTGATATTTATTGATAAACAGTGATATTTGTTATATGGGTCAGCCAGGACTATTTGGAGACCGTGACTTAATCCCTTGTAGAATTCTGTTAAAAAGTTTTATAAAGTAAACTCCATTCCTTCCGCAAGTGATGCTGTGTATACCATTAACAAAATAAAGAGTAAAGTTGTTTGTTAGGGACAGAAAGATACCTGTCACACACAGACACACTTCATAAAACAGATAGACACAAGAATGCACACAGAGAGACAAAGAGATCCATAAGAGAGCCTTCAGATAGGCACAGCTTCAGACTAATATAACAGAAAGGCCGAGAATGGAAGATACATGACATAAAAAACAGAGTTTAGATCTGAACTCATTCTTGATGGAAAGACCCTCAGGGGAAGTGCTTCTATCCCTTTCCTTAATGTGACACTGATACATTACTGGTTACTTGGAGTTGATTACTGTTGCCTATAATTGGTACAGGAAGAGAGCACTCATAGTATGTAGAGCAGTCACTTTATTCTGCTAATTCACATCTTAATGTAATCCAGATATACTTTTACAGAAACACATAGAATAACATTTGGTCAAGTGTCTGGTCAACTGAACATACATCATAACCAAGGGGAGGGGGCCTCTGTGATTCTCAATTTTGTAGTTTAGACAAAAAACATCAGGTCCATTGTGATTCTAGAGGTTGAGATCTGGTTTTGCCTTTGTTATGTTCCATAGCCAGAGATTGCACTGGTGCCAGGGCCCAGGAAGCCTCACTTTAAAATGGCACAGTTTTTTTTTTAAATATAAAGCTGCTGAGTCAGGGAATTCTCTCTGCGGCATGCCACCCACAAACAGCAAAAAGCTGTGTTCAACTCTCTCTCTCTCTCCTTTTTAAGCCCTCTCAGGTTTTACGTGGAGTTAGTAGACCACATTGGGCAGCCACTCTGTAGTAAAATAGTAGCAGTGGGCCACTTCCCATCACCTGGCTCCCTGCTAGCTTTACCCGAAATAATTACACAGAAACTGTATTCATTTAAACACTGCCTGGCCCATTATATCTAGCCTCTTCTTGGCTAACTCTCACATCTTAATTAACCCATTTCTAATAATTTGTATATCATCACGTGACTGTGGCTTACTGGGATAATTCTAACCTAGTCCATCTTGGAGAGCAGGGCCATGGTGTCTGCCTGACTCTGATTTCTTTCTCCCAGCATTCTGTTTGGTCTACTCTGCCTATCTAAGCTGCTGTCCTATCAAAAGGCCAAGGAAGTTTCTTTATTTGACCAATGAAAGTAACACATAGACAGAAGACCCTCTTACACCAGTTGGCAAGCCTATGTACTTACCACCATGTGTGCTACCTGCTTGTGTGTAGCCCATGTGCCTGCCTGTGCCCATGTGCCTGTGTGTAGCTGCCTATCTAGCAGCCTTTGTTTGAAGTAAATAATGTGTGTTTTATCTGCCCACATGTCCTTAAAATCTTTTTAACCTCTTACACTACTATGCCACTCCCATTTTCCTGGAATTGGAGCATGGACATCACCCCTTTGTTCCCATCTCCTGTCTTCTCTTCTCCTACAAACTCACATTTTTTGGAGTTTGCTTCTTTAGAGAAAAAGAGCTAAAACAATGATCCACAGGGTTAGAGGTCAATAGAATGTATGATGGGCACAATGAGAGGGGGCAACATCTCAGAAGTGGAAAGAGCAATAGAAGGTATATTCATTCACCAATTGTTAACTGAGTATGAGGCCCACAGAGAAACAAAGATGGTATCAATCTCCTTTCCCTGACAGGAGAGCTAGAAAAACCCAAGATATCTCAGAGTTCTCTGAGGGTGCTTGTCTTGGTTAGTGTTTCATTGCTGTGAAGAGATACCATGACCACAGCAACTCTTATGAAAGAAAGCATTTAATTTGGGCTTGCTTACAGTTCAGAGGTTTAGTCCATTATCATCACTGCAGGTAGCATGGTGGCATGCAAGCAGATATGGTGCTGAAGAGCTAGCTGAGAATTTTACATCAGCAGCAGAAAGAGAGACTCACTGGGCATGGCTTGAGCTTTTGAATCCCCCCAACTCACTCCTGGTGACATATTTCCTCCAACAAGCCCACAACTCCTAATCCCTCTCAAATGGTTCTACTCCCTGATGACCAAGCATTCTTGTTCAAACCACCACAGTGCTTTTGACCAAAGGATGGTTCACGGGCATTGAATGTGAGTGTTATCCCTGTGAACATGCCCTGTGGAGTTTGGCAGAAGATAGCCAGATCTGCTTCATTAGTCTCTGTCAAGACCTATGGGGCCTCAGCTTTCAATATGATCCCAGGACTAAAGGATCAGCACTGTATGGAAACTTATTAAAGATGACGAGTCTCAGGTTCTACCCAGATCTGGATGGTGATCTCTTTCATGTCCATAAGATTCTTGGGTGGTCATAAGCACATGGAGATCTGAAGCCTTTATTCCTGGTGAACAAGATTTCCCACAGATTTTCTCTCATTCTCACTCAGGAGAAAGGAATAACAGGGTGATTCTGAGTTCCTTGGGAGGCACATCGAATCCAATATCATTGTTCATTCACAATTACATAGTACTTTCTGATTGAAGATGCATTGATTTATCCTTGGTGTTCCTAATCTTGACTTTATGGGGTTCCTTTTGTCAGGTTATGAAAGACTTACGGCATGGAGTATTCATTTGACTTGGATGGTTAGCTCTTGAGCAGGAAAAGAGTTACACTGATATCAGGTACAAACCTTAAGTTCTAAACAATTAAAAGATTGTGAAATGCAGCTCAGCTGTAAAGAGTTCATCATGAGTTCATTGTCCAAAGAGTGGGTGCTTCTCACTTGGTAGAGCAGTACTGAGGGCCAAATGGTTGTGACACCATGTACCCCACCCGAGATCATGGCTTCCAGCTACAGTCAAGCAGTCCTAATTGAGGGGAAGCAACAACCATCGAAACTGACGCTCATTGAGGAAGCCAGCACATATGACTTTCCCTAGGTCAAGAGCAGCTTATCACTAGATAAAAAAATAGCACTAGATTACAAAAATACCATGTGCAGTACTTAGTCTAGTGATAGGTGGGAATCCAGTAGGGTTCCGAGTCCTGGCCACGTGGTACACAGAGCTCAGGATGTGCTGAAGTCCCACTGCAGTGTGTTCTCTCTCCCAAGGAGAATGCTAAGCTGCACTGTGGAGGCAGGAGCTGGGGGATTTGTGAACTCATCTTTGAGTGCCGAGGAGGTAGACTTCTGCATCCCAGGAGCCAGGGTACTTGCCAGCTTCACCTGAGAGTAGATAACAGGAGACTCCAAGAGGCCACAGCATCAGGGTAAGAGCAGAGCTGGCAGGCCCACGGGGGGTGCTACAGGTATCAGCAGACTCACTGTATTTATGGCCACTGTCGAAAGAAAGGGAGATTAAAATGTGGGTGCTGCTTGGAGATCTCAGAGTCCTGTTCAGTGAGGTCCCCCTCCACCTTCCCTCCTCTCCCTGGCCAGCCTTCTTCACAGTGCTTCGCCATGCTGCCAAGGGCTGTCAAGGGAAGTATATGTAACTTGGATTCTTGTTTAAAAACTAGATCTACTAGAAAATAGATGTTTTAAAATAGCAACTATATGGCTGGCAGCCATCTTTACTAAGATTAAAAAAGAGTTTGTGCAATGTAACTTCACCACCATTTGGGTTTAGATGACCATGTGTTGTAAAGCAACACTTATAAAACTTATCAGTCCTACTGAGTCCTCTGCTTATATTGTATCTCCTTTTTAGACCAAGGAGGCAACAGTAGGTCTACAAAATATTTTGGATTAGTATGGATTTTTATGTGACAATAAATTCCTAAGGTTATAAAGGTCTACTCAGGTGAACAGAACATGACTTAGAGATGCGTGTTTAACCACTTATGTCTTTGCTAATTGCTAAATACTAGGCTTCTGAAAAATTTTAAGTAAGGAGCAGCATGTGTTTTATAAATAAGGTTTATAAATTCCTAAGGTCTACTCAAGTTAATAGTAACTAACTTGAAGATTTGTGTCTAGCCTCTTTGTCTTTGCTAACTTTTCTAAACTTTAACTATTTGGATAAACTGAGTCATACCATACAAGAAACTGTGATATTCTGTAATGGCGCACTATGAAAGGACGAAAGCAATGAAGATTTCCAGTCTCTATGTGAACTGTATTTATAGTTTTGTAAAGTTTCCAGTCTCTCTATGGACTATATATATGGCTTAATGTTTTATTTTGTTGCTAAAGAATCTTCAATTAAATCTTCAACTCAAATTTTTTAAGGCTCAAACTTAACAGAGACAAAGCTGTCAAATGCTGATCTTATAAAGATCAGCTTGTAAGCCATTAAAGATAATTAAGATGTACAAGTTAATGCTCAGCCACCTTATAAATGATCAAAATTTTAATGTGCTCCTTAATGCACTATGCTCATAAGCCATGCTAAGTACAAATGTAATTCATTTACAGAGACAAACATTATTTACTATCCTATATTTGTTTTCAAGGTTAAGTCTAAAACTAGTAACTAAAAACAAGCAAATTTTGTTTAACTCAGGTATCATTAAAAGATAATGGTCCTCAAACTCTTCAGAGATCTGCTGAATATGGCACTTAACTGTTTAATGGAAAAATCCTCCCATGATGGACAGAAATGCCAGCGCCTAGCAGCAATCCTAGGTCTCCAAAGAAGATGCCAGGGCACAGGCAACTTCACCTGGATCAGTGTAACTCTGACCATTTGGAAAAATCGCCCCCTGCCTTGCCTGCTGCCAAGACTCTGCTCAAATTGTGGACATGGTTGGGTTGACTGCTCTACTCTGCCTTGCCAAAGTGGGTCAGTTTTTCCAAATTTCTTCTCCACAGAAAAATCTCTCAGACTTTCTGGGTCTGGCAGTTGATGGCCAATGCTGTTCCATGTAGCAGCCAAAGCTGTAATGTAGTCTGTCCTGGGTGACAGCCAAAGACCAACTACTTCTACCCTCAACAAAGCCAATACCACAGGAGCCTAGGATAACCATCCAGCAGTAAGTCTTTGCCATTTTACTTGATAACTAAGCCATTTGGATTATACTTCCTGCTATAATTTATTCTGATGATGTTGATGGCTAACTGTAGCTTTATGTTAACAGCAACAGGCACCCAGCTCCTCCCTGCAATGCTGCAGCTGCCTGTTCAATTCATTTCATATATAAAATCAAGCAACCTAGAGTTACTAGGTTTCCTGCTGAGAAAGGCAGACACAGACACAGTTTCCTTGTTGGCAGACCTCACACTGATAAAAAGATACACTCACACAGGTTTCAATGTAACTTTTTACTGTTCCTTCATTTAAAGGAACCTGCCTTGCAATGACTTCTCTCAGGAACCAACCACCCGTGCCTTATGGCAAATAATTAGATGAAAAGAAAAAGTTCAAAGTTTATGTAAGTTATGAGGGTCTAAGAAAGTAATTTAGTGTGTGTAAGTGTAAATCGTAAAGATATGAGAAGGCAATTTAAAGGGATGGCAAATGCTTAAGCATTCTTACTTTCAGTATGCTGTTATTATACTAAGACTAGAAATGTTCAGAGTTTTATCATTAATCAGCGGAGCTCTGATACACTGTTAATCTAGGCTCTGGTAAGCACTGCTGCTCTTATCATAGTCACAAGCTCAAAATTTAAGTTTCCTTTGGTTGTCTTCTAAATATAGACTTAAAAGTGCTTCTCAATCATGCTGAAAACATCTCTGTCCAATCTATATTTCCATTTTCTTGGATATATAGGAAAAGTATTAATGTTTTAAACACAGAATAATATTTTTGGGTCCCTAAGCTTTTATTCTGACTTGAAGGTGTGAGTCTACTACTTTTTCTACAATGTGGATTTCAGAACAGATTACAAACAGTGGTAATACTAAACTGTCTAAAACTTTTATCTTTTTTAAAATTAAAAAAAATTCTTATAAGCTTCAGGAAGTCATGACTGTATCCACCTGTTACAGGCTGAAGTTTATGTACTCCAGATAAGTACTCCTGTTAATCAACATACTAAGTTTTCCCCACCTACTGCCTACACCGAAGGGTGAGCTTCCCATTTCCCTGGTCTTGGGACTCTTTCCCTCTTCCAGTTACCAAGACGATGGGCATGGAAGTTTCAAGTGTACACCTAAGATAAAAATTTCTCCTAAATTCCTTAACTTTACCGTCGGTCCCTAGTCTGTTCCAGCAGATTTCCAAACAGCTGAAGAGTCAGACAGCTCCAGAACTACCTGCAAAGCTCCAGCCCCAGATGTTCCTTGGAACCTGTGTCCTAGACTGCTCCAAAGCAACCTGCACACCACCAGCCCCAGATGGTCCTTCTGAACTTGGGCAGTAAGAGCAAGCAAAACAACTGTCTTCCAGTCTGTGCTCCTTTTGTCCTTCCTGGCTGTGACCACCATTCCAGCCTTCCTGGGTCCCCAGTGACTCCCCTATTTCAGCTAGAAGTAGTTATAGAAGAGGTGATGCTGCCCCTTATCAGCAACAAAAAGCGGGAATGTTCAATTTCAAAGAAACTCAGGACAAATGGCTAACTGAGGTTCCTATTTAACATACCGAAGTGGACTCTGGTTACCAGTCTTCCTTGGTCCCTACTCACAAGTAGGGACAGAGTCATCCTGGCTGGCACATCCAAGTCATACCCTAAACTTCTCCAGCCCCTGGGTTTTGTCCCTTCCCCTGGATTCTCTTTTCTCCTGTATAACCCAGCTATTTTGGCTATGTGCCCTTTTGTCTCCTGGTTGGCTTTGCTCCTGGATCTCTCTCAGTCCGCTTGTCCTCCCCTGCTGGCCACCTCCCCACGGCTCAGTTCAGTCTGCTGGCCATGTTCAGTCTGGACTCTTCCAGATGCCTCTGGCTGTGCTCTCCCTCATATCTGGGACAAACCCTCCCCTCAACCTTACCTTCGAGAAGACTTGTCTTTATTTTTTATTCAGCTGTCTGGTTTCTTGGTCTTGGACTTTCAGACTTTTGAACTGTAACAAATATTTGTTATTTCAGCTGCCCAATCTACAGTGTTATGTTTTAGCTGCCCAAACTAGGAAAACAGGAATGACAGCCCCATTCCACACAGAAGCTCAGAGGGAACTAAACGATGATATTGTAATAGTCATCCTGAGCTCATTCACAGACAGTGGAGAAGGCAGTACTGTATGGTAGCTTTGGATTAGTTTCAAACACTGTAGGTGCAAGTTAAGAAACCCTAGCAAGCTGGTAGGAGAGGCTCTGTGCCTGGCTGGCCCAGACCTGCTGAGGAAGTGGAGGCTGAGCAATAGTAAAGAATGGAGACTTCCCTAGATTTTACCTGCAGGTTTACATCTCTGTAGGGTGCACCGCACTTCTGTGTAAATCACTTCTTCTTTAGGTTCTATTTAGGAAGAAGATAAAGTATCAGAGGATAAGGAGTCAGCCTCTTTTCTCAGCTAGGTGCCCCTCCCTTGGCCAGTTTGCTCTCTGGAAGGATTATAGTCCTCAAGGCTTTACCATTTTCCTGACCCTGTTCTAATATGTATCCTGTGATTTCTGCCAAACCAGAGACTGGACAGCCCTTGTCCTCACCATTGCTGTATACTGGCTGCAGTTCTATACAGGCTGGTACATTGTAATAGGTGGGCTCCTGGGGTTCTGAATATGAAGGGTTCCTGTAAGATATAGAAACACTGATGTTTGCCAGGAAGTGAGATCATCCATTTAAGGGGTTTTCAGTCAATATTATTCCTTTTTTTAGGTTTATGGTCTCATGGTATGTAAGAGGTACCAAGCTAATGCTTAGATATATTTAGTTCTGCATTGTTTCCGTTTTATATGTGTATGAAATGGGCATTCTATAAAGCTAAGTAACTTGCCAACACCATTAAACTAGAAAGGGGAAGAGCCAAGACTTAAAACAGGCCTGACGCCCTTCTTAGAGATATCAGTCTCAGAGAAACAAAGATCAGATAGGCTCCAAGGAACTCTGGTGGTTTGGACACAGCCACCATGGGAGGTGACATGTTTGTGAGCCTTCAGGATGCAGGCTGGTGGCCACTTCTCTCCAGACACTTCTTGTTGACAGAGTCACTTCTCTTGGTGGATGAAGTATGTGACTCCATCTTCTTGGCATGGGTTTTGACTATGCCAGCCATGCCCACAGATTTCTAGGCTAATTAGGCTATATCACCTCAGGATATGGATGGAGTCAATGTCTATGTAATAGGAGAAAAATGACTAAAAAAGCACCTTCATGATTATTGTGAAAGTAGACAAGTTGCAGAGGAAGACTAGAAGCCCTTTCTCACCTTGGCAATATCCAACATAGAGAATATGTGTGAAACATAGCCCAAGACTTACAAATGGGAGGGAGGGGTTCTAAAGACCGTTTACCACATGGTCGGCTGTCTTTTGGGCTTTTTTCTCTGGTCACTAGCCTACTTCCATTCTTGGGTGTGATATTTCTTTTTTTAATAAATAATTTCTATTCCATGCTGCTCAACTTAAAAGGCTTGACTTTTCTCTCCTTGGTAGCACCAGGATTTTCACCTATCTTGTCTATATTTTTTTCTTAAATTCTAATAAAATTGTTACTGAGTTTCCTTCTGAACTTGTTTCTAAATTCTTTTATTAATGAGAATAAGAACCCCCAAAGGGAACCTCAATTTCCCTGTTAGCTGCCAAAGTGGTTATTTAGATGCCAGGCTAACAGTGGTACAAGGAAGTGGGTTAATAAATGAGAAACACTTGCTACTTGATGTGGGAAGAAGGATTAGCTGTCTGTCGCTAAGGTGGAGCTTCTTGGAATTGGCTAGAAATAACCCAAGGAAGGAGCAGCTTCAGTTGGGTACAACCCACCTCAGCAACACTGTAGAAATTGTGCTCTTGGTGATAATAAGATTTGCTTTAATTTTTCTGTCCCGTGGATGTTTCATTACTTCCAGAAATAAGACCATGTTCTTACCTGGAGTCACCAGAGGCAGACTTTCCCCCTGTAAAGAAAGACATTGTGTTTTAGGAAGAGGGGACCTTTGTGGGGACTAGAGGGCAGCTCAGATGGGGCTCACACAGAGACGGCCAGGAACTTCCGTTACTGAGATCTGAATCTTTGCTTTGCTGATGGATGGAGGAGGAGTAGAAGCAACTGAATTATTGGTGCCGGTCTCAAGTGAAAGGAAACTTCTTAATGTGTACCCCATTAACCTGGATTTTAAATGACAGTGGTCTTTAATGGCTCCAGAGAGTTTAATAGCCTCAGACAGGAAAATAGACTTGATCATCGATAAAACTGCTATACATTTAAAAAAAATCAGTAAAGGACCAAATTCTATTTGGGTTCTGTTTTGATTTCCATCTCTTAGAGTCCTTTCTTTCTTCCCATTCCTTGGGAAATCTTATGAACACAGAGCCTCTGCCCTTTCTGAGCTTAGACAAATGACATCTCATTGAGGCATATTGCTTTTGATGTGGCTGTTGGAGCAACTTTGTATTTGGTAAACAGGACTTCCGAAGGACCTGGAGAGAAAGGTGAGGGATCATGTGATGGATGAGGAAGAGCTCATGAAAGCCTAGGGATGGCCACATAGTCAGTGTGGGCATGCAGGACCAGAGATAGGAAGGGCACGATTAAGGAGCCACCCACCTGCTCTTCTAGAGAACCAGCAATAAAGCAGCACACCAGCAGCTGCGCCAGCCACGGCGAGCAGTCCCCCAGCGACTCCAGCAGCCACAGGAACTCTTCTGTTTTTGGTTGTGTCTGGGGAGCAGAGGACACCCAAACATAAGACCAGGAAGAGGTGTGCAGTTTTGAATGACTTTGAGTCTTCAAACTGGTGTTTTGGCATCTGGGAGGAGAGGAACCTTTGTGACCAGAAGTTCTGAAGCTGTGGTACAGGAGCCAGCTCTGCTCTGCTTGCTTGTGAGGAAGCTTGTCTTGGTACTGCGTCTCTGTGCCCAAGGAAAGTCTAAGGGTCAAGACAGATTGTGGCTGGAGAGGGGAGGCAGCGCTAATGAGCTGTAAGTCCCCAGATGTTCCCTAAAGCCTCACTCCGCTGCACCAATTAAGAACCACTTCAGAGTATAAGGGTGTAGGGAGCCATCAGCTCAGGTACTTGACTTGGAGAAGGGTGGTCCTGATCACTCAGCATGAGCTCTGTGTGAAGCATATATTCTGGTCCCATCTGGCTTGCGCATAAGAGATTTACCACTGCTTTAAGTGTCACTTCCTTACTGTGCTGGCCCTTAGGCACATGCCAGACTCACAGAAGAAGTTTCCAGAATGTTCTGCAGTCAGAGAGATGTCGACAGACACCCGTTCTCCAGAGGGAGCAGAGTGTGGGGTCTCCCAGGGACCCCAGTGTGAGGAGAGGGTGGGACATGGGAGCTGAATGAAAATGAATCCTCAGTGGAAGCTTCTGCTTCTCACATAGTTGTTACCCTTACAAGGGACAAATAGTATTATTAGCAAATAAAATAAATAAAACATTTGACACATTTGAAAGCTAATTACTTTGACCCCAAAATAGCTTTTCATGTACAAAAATATTCAATAGAAAAGTGAAAAACGTTCTACGAATTCCTGAAAACATCTGCCAACAAATATACAAAAGACTCATCTTCATTATTAATTAAATATACAATTAAACCCAGCCATAAACTATTATTTCTTTCGTGTTTAAATAGATTGACAATAATGATGAAGTTTTGGCAATGCAAACTGAAGACATTTTGACAACATCTACAAAATTAAAAATACACATAAACTTTGAGCCTACAATCTACTTGGAGGATCAAGTAGGTAAAAATGTTACTCAGTGCTTCCAGAGGCAAAAAGGTGACCACCAAGCCAGCTACAAAACCCAAGGTCTATAATGGTGACCTACTTTCATGATATGCTGGTGCAATAATGGCACAAACTTTGTGGGAGTAACTGATCACTTTCTGATTGGATTTAAGGCCCACTCCATGAAATGGGTCCCATATGTAACACTGTTCTGGTGGGCAAGAACCTGAGACCAGACAGGTTCTTCTGCTAAAGTAACACAGCAATCAAATGAGTCCTAATGACATTCTGCTGTACCCATAGAGAAGTGCCTCCCCCATCCATCATCAGAGAAATGTCCTCTTGCAGTTTAGTAGATGGGAACAAACACAGGGAACTACACTGGTCAATGTGCAGGGAATGTGGGCTTTGGACCACTCATACCTAAGTTGGTGTCTTCATTGTGCTGCTCAGGCCCAGGGGGCTACAGGGAGAAAAGGGGGAAGGATTTTTAAGAGCAAACAGTGTCTTCCAGGTTTGGAAGAACTGATCGTGGCAGCAGGTATAGGGCCTACACAGGTTCCAGCAGATAGGTCCCACACTGAGAAGGAGGAAATAGACACAGACTTATATCCCTGAGCAAGAAACTATCTCCAACTGATATCTGCCTGCAAAGGAAAAACTAGTTTTCTCCATTGGAGTCTCACGAGGTATATTAACCACTGTGGTAGTTTGAGTAGGAATAGCCCCTATAGGCTCATATATTTGAATGCTTAGCTAGCAGGGATGGCACTGTTCAAAAGGATTAGAAGGATCAGGAGGTTGTGCCTCACTGGACTTGGAGGAACTATGTCACTGGACTCAGACTTTGAGGTTTCAAAAGCCCATGCCAAGGCCCTGCTTCTCTGTTTACAGATCAACATGTAGCTCTTGGCTATTGCTCCAGCACCATGCTGCTTGCTACTGTATTTCCTACCTCAATAAAAGTGGATTAAGCCTCTGAAACTATAAGCAAGTCCCAATTAAATGTTTTCTTTTATAAGAGCTACTTTGGGCATGGTGTCTCTCCACACCAATAAAAGAGAGACTAAGGCAACCACACTTAAGGATAGGCCCCATGACCAGCTGCTGATGACCAACACAAAAGAACTCCATGGTATTTTTGTAGACTTTTTTTTAAATCTAAAATTGATTTGCTTGGCCATTGTTTTTGTCTTATTGACCTTTTGCTCGTGTATTATGGTTTCTGATGTTGTGTTTTTAAGTCTTATTTAGTGTATGTATATGAAAAAAACTTGTTTTCAATAATATATTTATTATATACAATATGCTAATATATTATATAGCATTATATATTATAAATATAACTACATGTATACAGTTCTTAAAAGATTTCTCTGGTAATGTTTCTGTTACACAATAAAACCTGGAGACAACCTAATAGACTGAGTAAAGTATTTATTTTAAATTAAAAATAGAGGTTTTATAGTAAATGTGCAATGTGATCCTCTTATAAAAATACTTTGTGCTTTATTTCCCAGTAGTGTGGCATCTGGTAAGTTACCTTTGTTTAAGTAAATGATCCTAACTCTTGTTTGTGCAGGAACCCTGATTAAATGGAGTAGAGCAAAAAATAAATAAAGGTAAGAAAGTAGGAGGTGACTTGTTGGGAAAAAGAAAGAAGGGGAAAGAAAAGAGGGGCCAAAAGATTAGAATGGATAGTGAAAGGAACTATGTGCAGTGAGACCCCAAGTCAGGAAACAGCCTCTGCGGTCAGCTGTGTACTGAGACCCCAAGTCAGGAAACAGCCTCTGAGGTCAGCTGTGTACTGAGACCCCAAGTCAGGAAACAGCCCCTG